CAAGCTAGAGCCGAAGAAGGAAACCGAGGAGCATTTATCCTGTAAAACGATAAACGGGGTGTGTTCTTATTCTTTTGGCCAGAAAAAGAACTGACATCTCCAAGCAATTAGCAGCACTCGAGTACAACCACGTTGCAAATAAAAATGGCGAGCATTTTTCAGCACATGGCTTTATTAATTTTCGTCAGTCTGGGAGAAACTGTTACAGGGTCTGTCATCTCTTGGCACCGATCTCCAGGTAAGAGTCAAAGTTAACAGATCTGTTACAGATCAGACTATGTTCATGGTCTGAAAGAAAAAGTCTGCCAGATAAACCGTTATCACTTTGTTTGAGGGTATACTTCGGACAGGGTGATTTCTTCGATATATAGACTTTGCTATTATCCTGTGAATTATGTTGAAATCAGTTCAATAACTAGACTTTATATAATTCAGATCGGCAATTTCGCCTTTTATCATTGGCGAAGTGAAACTTTTTATATGAGAAGGTATCGTTTTGTTGTCGTTTGTCATCCGTGAAGTGAAACTGAAATACAACTGTCTGTACAAAGTCCACAGAGAAGAATGCTCTAATAGTTTTCATAACAATTTATTTAATAAGATTATCGAGGCTGCAAAATGACCAAAATTGAAATATTATGAAAATTTCAGGGAAAAGTAACCCGAGGCTGAGACTTTGAAAAGAATATATTAATTTTGTGTGTGTAAAAAGTTGAAAATAAAATTCGATTATATGTTTTTCACTAAGGTGTGACAAGTGCTTTGTACGGTATTAAATACGCACGAGATGTTGACGAATCACAATTCGGACGAGTTAGAGCAGTGAACGAGTGAGATTTTTGAAAAGATATGGATTAAGCTTTATTCAGAACGACTGCGTTAAAACCGTACAAAGCACTTTCAATGTGATATTGTGTTTATTAATTACATGCTGGGACATTCATCACCCTGAAAGCCTTCTATTTTTTATGGTTTTCAAGGTGTTAAAGTGACGAAATTTGCTTCCACACATAATGAGGTGACATAAAATAAAAACACGTCGTTGCCCCCAAAATTTTAATGATCTCTAGAGGCCACTATTAGTTGGTCAGTAAATATTAACAATGGTTTGTTGAATGGTGTTATATTTAATGACTTAACTGAAAGGCGTTTGACAACATCGACTATCACATTCAGTCTGTTGCGTAAGCTTTGTGATATTAATGGGAACTCTTTAAAGTGGATTGAGTTGTATTTAAGCAATCGAAGCCAGAAGTGCAAGGTAAACAATCATTTATCGCAAGCGAAACAAAGCAATTGTGGAGTTCCTAATGGTTCCATCTTACGCCCCTGTTTTCCTGTTATATATTGACGATATCCCAAGTTGCCTAGAGAAGGCTGCCTCTAGAATGTATGCTGCTGGTACTGATATTATTTTTGATGTGTCTGACTTGAGTGTCCTTGAAAGGGAGATAATTGCGATTGAAGAAAATTACCTCTGGCTTATAGCGAAAACTCCAGTCTGGATACTGCCAAAACTGAATTAATGTTAATTGGGTGTTCTTATATAGGACAAATTAACTGGGAGAAACCACGTAGACGAAATTTCTAAAAGGATATCCTCTAGACGCACTGGGGTTGGAAAAAGACCATCATTGTTTTTAAGTCTTTACGTAACCTTGCTCCAGCGTATCTCCACAAAAAGGTTTTGCAAATTCAATGCTAAATTTTAAAAAACTCAGTTAACAAACTTGCATTGCCCAAGCCTAGGACAAAGTACCTGAGGTGCAGCTTTTCACATACAGCCGTGCCGCTTGGTGGAATAATCTGCTTCAGGATCTTAAGGGATGTGACCCTCTGGGGTTTTTAAAAATGATGCTTAAAACTTACTATTCTTCTTTAGGCTCCCACACACCAATCATGTAAATTAGCTGGATTTTAGAAGTTGATATTTTTTAGTATATACGTTTAACTGGTATTTCCCGTGTAAAATAAAAATAATGGAAACTTTATTTGTGTTTTTGAATGTACAATTGTAAATCTCGCTACGTATAGGCAATTTACAAAAAACAAAAACTAAAACAAAAACAAAAACAAAACAAAACAAAAGCCAAAAAAAGAGAAAGAAATCAAAATTGCATTAAGTCTGGGCTATCCCAGTTCCTATTTCTACAACAAAAGATGTAATAAGTTGCTCTAATGGCTATATTTATCATTTTTTTGATCATATTAAGTTGCTGCTTTTTGTCAATGCCAATGTCATTCATCCTGCATGTCTAAGAACGTGGAGCATTCATCGGAGAAAACGCCAAGGGAACTCATGGAGAGATTTACAAATCTCGCACATCTGTAATTTCTACTCATTTCGTTGATCAAGTTCAGATATTTTTCTTTCTTACGCACTGCATTGTTGTTAAGGTTAATATATAGACTCGAAACCAACTGTTAATTCTAGAACATGTAGGCACTTGGACTGGATTAGGAAAAGAAGATGTGGACGATAATTATCACCAGTTATTATTGAGGGATTCAGAAAACCATTATCCACCGTATTCTTACGTGTAGGGAGGGAGTTGTTGATAATAATAATAATAATAATAATAATAATAATAATAATAATAGTAATAATAATAATAATAATAAAATTGAATAGGGGGCATTCCTGTATAGATATGACGAAGGTGCTCGTCTTGCATATTCGGGGTTAAAATTTGTCGATTGGTATCACCTTGAATGGGGTGCGTTAATCTCAAAAAGACTGCATAAAGACGCAGTACCTCTCTAAGGCAGTAATCGGCTCTTGTCTAAGGCTTTAAAGGGCGTTGAGCCAAACAACTATTTGTTACTCATTTGATTTTTTGGAATCTCTTTTACACTATGCTGCTTCTTTAACAGGGTGTCTGGACTGGAGGCCTCCGTGAACAGGGTCATTTGACGTTGGCGGTGCGCAGTCTATATATGTATTACCAAAGTAATATATCGTGTCAGATTAATTCTTAATTCTATAGGCGAAATGAAATCAACATGTAAGGTCCATAAAAAATGATCAGTAATTGTCAGGTTCGAGGAATTAACTATAGCTGTCTTAAACAGTTAAGGGCCTCTCAGCGGCACATCTGAACTCAAACTTCCCATAAGCGGCGTGAATGACCCTTAATTTAAAAATTTGGACCTAAATCAATACTCATATATAGTTAACACCTATATGTACGGATAGATCAAGCCCCATGTGTTTTGTATTAAGGTAATTTTATTTTATATTTTATTCCAAATTTGCTCATCTGATTTCCAAACAGCCACAACTAACACAAACGGGTCATATATGTTTACCGGCAACAATGGCAATCAGATACCGCTGGAATGGATGTGTGACGGTGAAGATGACTGCTCCGACGCCTCAGATGAGACTTCTTGTCATTTTAGAAACAAGGGAGACCGTCTGAGTAAGTCTCTGCATGTGCTATAGGTTACTGTGGGTTGGCCTCTTAAGCTTTCTTAGAAAAGCCTCTTGTCTAATTTCAGTTTCTCGATGACGAGGAGCCGGCTGACCTTTATGTTTCAAAGGAGAGTTTCTAGAACAAAATTTTCTGCTGACTGGTTTAGAAAGAAAAAAGAAATTGCACCGAACGAAAAGGGAAAAGCCAGGTATCCGCAAGATTGCACGTGACGGAATTTTTTAGAGTACAGTTGCTGTTTATGTTCGATTGGACTTCCGATCTGTTTTAGTCTTTTTTTTAAAAGTGATGAATGCTTACCCTCGGCCTGATTGACCTTTGCTTATTAATATGGAGACACGGATGACGGATGTACAGTTGAATTGTCGTTCAAGCCTGGGGCTGTTGTCAATTTGTGACAAAACATTTTTGCTATATTCTGAAATAAATGAAAGATGGTTTCCATGTTCTGTAAGACGCACCCTCCTGGGCCTAGTTGTTCGAAAGGTGAATATCGCTATCCACTTTATAAACTGATTTTTTCATCCAGTGGATATCGCAACTGATTTTCTTAAGAATTATCCGCTAGGTAGTGATTGATGTGGTGGATTGCACCATTCGATGTTTAAACAATCGGGGCTAGCTCTATAAAAACAAGTGAATTCTCTTTCCTATTGTTTCGCGTATGGCATCATGATTAGGACTGGTAAAAAAGTGCAGGGAGTGGACAAGAGCATGGAAATATGGTGGATGAAAAACACGTGGTCCACTCCTTCTTTTTGGCACAAAACTGAGTGACCCACCCTTGTTAAAAATGAAGCTTTAAAATTACATGAGGCACCCCCTAGTAAACATAAATCGTTTTATTTTTAATCTAATGAAACCACATTTTGTGTATGACGAATTCATAAAATAAGTAGGACTATGTTATAACACAGGATGACCTTCCTCCAGGAGTAGCTAAAAATTAAACGACCCATCCTGGCCCAGGGCTCAAAAACTGATGACCCACCCCCTCTCTGCTCCGGCCCAAATAATGACAAAATATCCCTCCGCCACCCCCGCTCAATACCTTTTTACCATTCCCTTACCACTAGCAGTGTTTGTATAGGCCTCAAGTGTGTTATCAGTCTTACAGAAAACGGGAAGCTATCTTCTGTTTTATATCTCTTGTAATGTCTGTGGAGGTACTGTTAACGTTCAAAGTAGCCAGTCAATTTCTCTCATAATCTTAGAGATTTCCTCACTCAAAGTTGTCTTTTGTTTTGTTAGGTCCTCACATGAAGAAAGATGATTCAAAATTCAAAGAGGCTCCAAAAAAACTGGATAATCCTATTTCAACCTATATCTTCTTCTCACACCCGTATGAGATTAAATCATTGCGAGTCGCGATTGTCGGTGATGATGATGATTGCGTGTACTTGGAATACGTTCGTAAGTAACCGTCGAGTCTTTTGAGTTTTTTATCTGATCAGCCCTTGCAAGACTAGCCTTACAGTTGTCTTGTTGACACTCATTTTAAATCAGTTTGTGGGAACCAGTTGCCGCAATTGCAAGTGAGCTGAAAAACAGGAATTATAATTAGCTCATGAATTTGGCGTTCAATTGATTCCGCAGCCTCAGAAATTGGTTGGTCCACGGTGTGTGCAAATAGTAAGCAAAAGGATGCAAACCCCCCTATTGAAATTGGAGTGTATATGTACTATTTGCAAGGTTCACTCTAGCGTTGGACACGTTCTTCAATGACAGAAGAACGCCTTAGCGGCCTCGCAGTGATGCTTATTAATCGTGTAACCAACTACATGCCAACGCTGGGCCTAGTTTTTCAAAGCTGGGTTAAGATAACCCAGGGTTAGTGCGAGATTTAAATTCAGATATGAAAGCTTAAAAATCATTTCAGTTTTAATTCTTTTTGTCGACAAGTTGCTTATTGAAAACTTTAAAAATAACAGAGAAAATTATCCGAGAAAATGCTTTTAAACGCAAGAAAAAGAAACCCGGGTTAAATTTAACCTCGGGTTAAGCGTTAATCGGCCTTTGAACAACTAGGCCCTGGTACATACCTCTTATTAGCCGAGTTTTCGGTCCGTACTGTAAATTGCGGACCGAGTTTTTTTTCATCGATTTCGCGCTTGAACCATAAATCGATGGAAAAAAACGAGGATCCGTAATTTACAGCACGGACCGAAAAAACGAGGCTAATAAGATGTTCATTATATGGCTTCTTCCTGTTTTGGGGGACCGGAAACAAGTGCAGGACGCACGATTTGACAATCATTTGACAGGCGTCAAAAAAGAAAGTTTTTATTGTCGCACGAAAACAATAGCACATAACAAAAGCTTTTCGAGAAAGGAAAAAACAAATTCGCCATGTTGAAAAAGTTGGTTCGGTCAAAACTAAGAGCACTCTAAGTTTTAGCTCTTTAATGTAACGCTGGAGTATTTTGGAAACCGGACACTGTGTCTGTCTAGAAGTCGTTTCCATCGTTCCCCAGTTTGTCCTTGTAAAAAGAACACTGCAAAAGGCAAAGAAGCTTTTCAAGGTAAGTTTGTTGTCATTGTCGAAGGATTCGCTCGTTAATTGTTTTTGGGAAAACCTCAGCTCTTTCTGCCAGTTCATTCTCGTCTTCAGGTATGATCTGCGTTAAAATTTTCAAACACTGACTAAAATTCTCTTCCCCGGTAAGGTTACCATTCAGTTTCTACATCAGCTTCGTTCTCATTAAAACAAAGCTAGGTTAAAATTTGGAAAGGCAAAGTCAACATCCCAGTCCTCAATTTTAAAGTTTATTCCGTCAAAACTAAGAGCACTGTAGGTATTCACTCGTTAGTGTGACGCTGGAGTCTTGTGAAAACTGGACATTGTGTCTGGCTCGAACTCGCGTCTATCTTTCTTTCGTTGGTCTTTGAAAAAACACGGCAAATGGCAAAGAAGCTTGTCAATATGATCGGGTGCAGGTATGTTTGTTATCATATCTGTCGAAGGAATTACTCATTTCTCTTAGGCAAAACATCTCGAATCTCTGCCAGTCGATTTTCGTCTTCTTAACAGTGTACTGCGATAAAATTTTCAAACGCTGACAAGAATCCTCTTCGATAAGATTACGAGTTAGTTTCTTCATCACCTTCGTTCACAAATAAACACAGTTTAAAATGTTGAAGGCCAAAGTCAACATCCAAGTCCTCAAGGTTGACAGGCGTCTTATAACTTTATTTAAACCTTTTTTCCGAGGTCAAGAGATTCAGAGCTCCGAAATGAGCATTTTCTTTAAAAAGTTTGGTCCGTATAGCAAGTTACGGACCGCAAATTGACCAATCGCATGGCGAAAACAGACTCAGCCATATAATAATTGGATATACGGTGTGTTTCAAATTAACAGGACCTCGGAAATAAGCACCTGTAAGCACTGAAAATACCTGCCTTTTCACATTTGTTCGAGGTCGATTTTTCGGAGACATATCTAGTCTATATCTCATGACAAGTGGTGAAAACAGTGTTTCAGCGCCTCCAAATTTGAAAATTGTCTGGGGGAGGATATCCCCCCCCCCCCCCCCTTACCAAAAACGTACCTATGGCCCTGCGCATGTACCAATTATATCAAGTGGTAACAAGATGGCAATAATTGACCAAGAAAATTTTTTTTAGCGATTCGAGTGACAGATGAAGACGATGATCTTGTGTTTGAAAGACAACTGTAAGTAGTTAGAGTCTTTTGAGTTCTTTCTCTCTTCAGCCCTTGCAGAACCCTACAGTTGTCTTTTTGACACTCATTTTTATTGTTGAAAATAAACATTTGTTGAGGGAATGTGGTGTTTCCAACATCTCCCTCTTTCCCTCCCTCTCTCTCTCCCCCTCTCCGTATTCACTCATTTAATGACTCTATGGCGTTTTTTAAATTCCTTTTCCTTTTCCCAAACATCTCAGTCATAAAATCGGCACTATCGATGAAGCGATTTTCGTCAGCAATAAATTGAAACAAGATCTTAAGCCAAGGGAAATATAACCGCCATTCGAAAATCATATGCGTTGTGGTTTACCTTTTTCATGTGATCTGTGCGCTGCAAATTATGTTTGCTATACGGCGCATTGTTGAACATAAGGACTAGGCTATCGGTAAAAAAAAACATTGTGGAAACTCATGGGTAAGCCCAAGAAAGCCAATTTTGCATTTTTCGCAAGTGCCAGACGAAGTTTGAATGCTTGATTTATGAGATGCCGTTTCATTAGAATCCAAGCTTGAAGACCACCCAGGCTTATTGCATTCGTATAAAACTCTGCTTTACTAACATTCTTGAAACTCTATTAGTTAGTTTTTTAATCAGGCATTGTTTATTTATTTTCATTTTGCAACAGGCATAACTTTTTGACTTGATAATCGGGCATTAGTTGAACGTTGAAAAGTCGTCGTCGGTTTTTAATTTTTATCTTTATTTCAGCGCAGTATTTATATGCAAATGTTTAACGAAATCGCTTCTTATACATAGAGCGATTTTCGTATGACCTTAAAATGAAAACGCGTGAACAAAACAGAAAAAACAAACGAACGGAAATAGAGCCATTTGATTGGTTTATCGAACGGATACAAAAGCGATGACTTTTGGTTGGTTAAGCGAACGCTCGGGCGAAAAAACTTCTCATGCCCGAGAACTTTCTAGAAATCAAACGATACTTCGCTTTGACGTCATACTGCAACACGATTGGCCAATCGAACAATGCCTTCTCCATATTAGGGTTTTCTTTGGCGGGAAAACGAAGAGTCCATTTTTTGATCTTTTCATCCATCGGCTTATGAAACAGATGACGAACACTTACCGAAACCATTTTTCAAGGTCATACGAAAATCGCTCTATCCTACTATAAGACAGTTGAAAAATTGTGACAGTTTAATTTTCAGCGTCAGTCCCTACCTTTTCATCATTGCCATCGTAAGCAAAAACTACGTAGAGCTGCGAGGGGGTACTTCCTGTGGATGTGCCGCTGGACGGGATCGCATTTTTATGACTGGTTTGACAAAAATGGGGTTGCATTTTAAATGGTGTTTCTAGAAAGGGGTCGCACGTTTTGGAGATTTGGGTGTAAGAAAATTTTGGGTAAGTAAGAGTTTCCATAATGGAAAGATTCGTACATCATTTTAAAAGTTTAAAAGATGTGTCAATTCACTTCAGGGTGACCTAGTTAAAAGGCTTAATTAGGTAGATAAACAAACAGAAAGTGACTAAGTTGGGATCGCAAAAGTTACATTTTTACATTTTCCCAAAAGTGATCCAAGAAGGAGGTCTAAAATGTTAGCTTTGTTCGAAAATGAACAAAGAATAGACTATAATCACCGGGGCACTGCCTGGTTTCTCAATTAGGCTCAGTGCACCAACTGCACGTGCAAAAGAAGCAATCTCCTTGGCATAAACTCAAAAAAAATTGGATTTTCCCTTACAAAATGGAAGGAAAATAATTATGCTCCTCCACAGTTTTCCACAAGAAAAGCGTTAACGATTTTTAACTTTTTGCCCCTTTAGGTTTAGGTAAACTGATCCTTACATTGCCTTGATGGGCTTGTTCAATCCGTAAACTTGCCAAACGAATCAAAGGTTGAATAGGTATCGAAAATTGGGTTGTTTGACATGACGGTTTCTTTGTCACGGTTTTTTTTGTAAGCCATTTCCAACACTTACAATAGTACCACGACCTTATTGGATCAAGAACCGGATCAAGCGGTATGGGTAGGTCATTTTTTATTTTCAAAATAATTATGCTCCTCCATTTTTCCGTCTAACTTTAGGCAGTTAATTATTCGGGAAGAAACAGAATAACGATCTCTTGTACCTTGAGACATAACGATCTCTTGTACCTTGATTCAACTTGTGATCCGCTTAGTCCGGGCAGCTGTGAAGACAATGTATACTGGGTTCATATCATCAAATTTGATGGAACCCGTAGTGAGGATCTGGTTTTGTTAAAGAGGCTACAATGCAGGCCAGGGATCAAAGTAAATGGACACCACAAGGCCCTCTACCGGAAAATTAAGTGGACAAAGAGTGTCCATTTGTACCTTTCGTTCAGTCTGAAGAGCAATGAAGACAATGGATATTTATGGGCTGACACTGACAGAGCATGGGAAAACGTTTTTGTTACTGTTTTTTGCAAGACGTTTGGAGTAAAGAACCCTCCCGGATATGAAGAAAAGCGAGGTATTATTCAGCTAACTCACTGCCATATATAAGACAAAAATCTTTCAAAACGGCCCTAGTTTTATTTGTTATTTTGCACACATTTTTTTGTTCTAGAATCTTAGAAAATTCTTCAGCGTTTCCCTACAGTTATTCTGAACAGTTTTCTCATCTTAAAAAGTGCGTGCTCAATACGAACAGCCACATAAATGTTGTCGACGTGCGAGCCATTGTCGAGAATGAACAACTAAGAAAACGCTCTCATATTTTTGTAAACTTTGACGTCTTTGGTCCATATGGAAACATGCTTATTATTCTTCGTGGTCGCATTAAGCTTTCCATTTCAGCTATTAAGATGGTAATTAGCAAAATAGGGGAGGATAGATCTGGTACCTCATTAGGAAAATTTTGACCAATCCTAACAGAGTTACAGACAAAAAAACAAGCAACGTTTGGGGAAAAATCCACCGCCAATTTTGCTGTTTACCTACTATACTGCTCTTAACAGATTAAATTAACCCATGCGAAAGAAAGGCGGTAAAAAGAAACGCAAAGGGAAAAAGAAGAGAGCAAGAAAAAAAATCAAAATAGATTCGGGTGCGCGAAAAACAGAAAAGCTGCTTAATTAGATCCAATTAGCAGAAAATTAAGGGTGATGTTATACGGAACGATTCGATAACGACGATTTTTAGCGCAACACAGCGCAGCGTTGCAACATTGTTGCGACATTGTTTTGAACGGTTACAACATTGTTCCAACATTTTAACGCTGTGTTACACTAAGATCGTCGTTGCGAATAGTCTTGTGTAACATCTCCTTTATTAGCGTTGGAAATCTCTTTTTTGGTCATTCCGGCCCATGCTAACTGGCCGAAAAACGGTTCTAAAAGGAGGATTCGGTCCAAAATGCGGTTTTCCCCAAAAAACTGGCTGACGGCAAAGCGGTTAAGGACCTTATCATCCATTAATTGAAAGACTGTATCCTTTTTTTCCAGGTGAAGCCTTTTACCAGCGCAGTAGTGATCAGAGAGTTGACTTGAACATACGACACCCTGAAAAGCGAAAAAGTGAAAAAGACAGGGTTAGTGTTTTATGCATGTGACCACGATTAACATAGAGCACTGCTTCTAAAATTTCTGAGTTACACGTTGCATCCTTCTTGTCAGATTTGGGGTGGAAACCAAGTTTGGTTATGGAGGTATCGCTGAGGAATGAACTGACCCTCGTTAGGACAAAAAACGAAATGTTTTGAAATAACTTGTGCAGTATAATGGATAAGATATAAACTCTATTTTTACTGTAGATAATAGTACTACGTTTTAGTTGTTTTACATAACGTTTAAGCTTTTTTAAGACTCTTTGCATGCCTTAAATGCCATCGTCGTGTTTCTTCAAAGCTAGAACATATTTTGTAAAACTTCTCATTGTGCGTTAGCAACTCGTGATTTATTGATATTGCTATATTCCGGATTTTAGGGAGGAGTGGACAAACCTTGGGATCCAATCGCTTCGTTGGGTGTCATTTCGCTGCTACTAGTACGTATTCTATCATTGCTTCTTCACAGTTTGTATTTGTTAAGGTCATTAAAATACTAAATGAGTTGGTCAGCCAGTTAGGGCGAATGAGTGAGTAAGTGGGTTTTCATTCAGGATAGAACCAGTGTTAGCAAACACAGGCCCAGACATAAATACTTTCGCTTCCAGCGACCTCGTGTCAGTGATCGCCGGCGCAGTCGCTTGCGTTTTGTTTTGCAAAATATGGTTTTTTTTTTGTACCCTTCATTTTTGGCTAGAACTAGACGGCAAGGATCATTCTGCTGGTAGTCTAACACTCACTTAATGTTATCTAAATATCGTTTTGTTTTAGCTATATAGAGAGAAAATGTGAAGAATATATTTGGGGGACTTATTCACGCTAGTGTTTTTATCTTTGTTTCTGTTTGATTTTCGGGTTTTTTTGTAAAGAGTGTCCGGTACTGGATAATGGTCGTAATGTGTAACTACATTTTCCTCAGGTAACGATTTACAGATGCTCTCCTGGAACAAAAGTGACCAACATCACCAAATGCAAAGTGGTCAAAGTGAAGGGTCAACATGGTGGAGTGGTAATTGCAGGAGATTACGCGACAGTAAATGTTCATTACAATTACGCCGCCGAACAGGCAAGATTAAGCGAATCTCGCAACTGTTAGAAAAAAATGTATTATAATAACGATAAAAAAAAACTGGCAACAGGTAAAAAACAAACAAACAAAAACAGATTAAGCGAATCTGTGTGCGTTCTGATTAGTTGACCACCCGAGTGGTCAAGATATTGGCCTATCTCGCCCGCTCGGGAGTTCCCGTGTTAGTCCGGCGAAAAATTGAGGCATATCCTTGTAAATAGCTTTCGGCCCATCTTTTGTATTTGTTGTAAAACGTTAGAATGTTTGTAATTGTATTTTCTTATTTCATTAAATTTTCAATAGTTGATTAAGTAAGCCTTTATTTAATTTTGCTACCGCTGAAAGAGATATTTAGATTGTAACAGGAAATATCGTGGGATAATTATTACAAACTGAATCATTTGATATTGCAATTCTAGTGTTTTGATTGGCTTAGCCATTATGGTATATTACACACTTAATGTCAGATCCCGCGACGAAATCGAGGGAAACATCAAGACTCGAGGAAAAACAAAACTAACTGGTTTCCCGAGGGACCTGACATTAAGTGTTTTTGGATATGAGACGATTATAGCCAACTCGGCGCTACGCGCCTTGTTGGCTACCTACTTTCATATCCAACGCGCCCACGTGGAATAATTGTTAATTATAGAATTTTAATTTTAATTCAATGTTGTATTTCATCAATATCGGGTATTACTAGCTCTCAACCGCTAGCCTGTGAACAGGCCTTTGGTCGAGCAGGGAATTTTGAAATAACCCCGCCCTTGATAGGAAATTAATTAGTGCCCATGAATCGTTGTTAAACGTGAGCAAAGAACTAAGATCCTATTTGATTATTGTGACCACTCCGGAATTACGCATCTGGGTGTGGACTTCTTTAGAGTATACGCAGCATTTTTGTAAAATTTAATTAGATTGAGATCGAACGTAGAATGGAACGTATACTGTTGAATTGTGAAGAATAAAGTCAACGATTTCATAGAAAACTTCAATTTTTTTAATTTTTTTTTCTTGACCGATGTTAGTAATAATTGTGCCGGAACGAAAAATAAAGCTTTTAATTGACTCTGTTTTTCTGGCTTCCTCCCAAACCGCTCCCCACCCCCAAAGTAGTTTTGACACTCATTGGCAAAGTACAAACATTAACCATAAAGGACTCATTGGCAAGATGGCAGGCCGTAACGCAAAGCGCTCGATCTCGACGATCTTACGGAAAAATAGAGGACTGTGAACAGTCTAACGTTCTATCATTTTTTTTATCAATTGACCGTTCGGTTTGACATCACATGACCGTGGTGTGTTCCCAAGTGAAACCCCACCCACCCCGCCCCCCATACCCCAAATTTTAGTGGGGCCCGCAATAGCATCCGCTGACCAACATGGCGTCTTGCACAGCAGCTAAAAAACGACCACCTCGACAGAAAGCTGCAAATGATGTGGTTCAAACTGCTCCGATTTGCAAACTTCCTGCGAATATTATGCTACAAGTGTTCAATTACCTTAATGTAAAGACACTTTGTGCTTTATCGACAGTGTGTCGGCGATGGTATCATCTTGTTTGTGATCGCTCGTTGTGGAAATACGTTGATCTACGCTTGTGGCCACTCTCGCTACGGACTTTGAAGAAAATTGTAAGGAATCGCTTGTCAGATTCAGTTCTGGAGCTGCTTATCAAAGGCTTCATTGGGACCACCAAAAAGGGCGAAAACATTTCACCATCTTTGCTTGAAGAGATCAAGACGAAATGTCCAAGTTTAGAAACTCTGGGCTTGTGTTACTGTGACATGAGAAATATTCCCGCTCAATGTTTGCCACGAAATTTAAAATCGTTGCTTCTAGATCATTCGATAGTTCCACTTGGTTGGTTTGAGGGATTGCAATGTGAGACTTTCTTCCCGAATCTATTGCAGTTGAACCTAACATATTGCACCCGCGTTGAGAATTCAGATCTCCGTAGCATAACAAAGCTGAAAAAACTTGAAAATCTAAATTTCAGTTACTGTTATCGAGTTGGTGACGAAGGCATTGAACATATCGCCCGAAATCTTAGTAATCTGAAAGTGCTTAATCTTTCAAATTGTCCGAAAATAACGGATTTAGGATTGCATCATATTGGACGACATCTCATTGGTCTAAAAAGGCTTAACCTGTTATCAAGTTGGAGAATAACTGATGCTGGTATTCTTTCACTGGTTCACTGTCTCACTGAACTGGAATATTTGAATCTGTCATCATGCAAGGAGGTGACTAATTCGGGGCTTACTGAGATCACTGACAAGTGTAAAAAGCTGAAGTTGTTGGACGTAACAGGCTGTACTGCTATTACAGAAAGGAATGTGAGTGATGCTAAATTACTTTTACCTCTGTGTGATATTCAGTGGCCTTAGGAAAAGTTGTATGCTGAATTGTTTGGACTGCCGGTGAATACTGCAGGGTAGCCATGTTTTGGAAAGAAATTTATTAATCTAAAAATTGGCAGTGTTATTTTTTTTAGACGGTCTCTGTATATAAAGCCTTTTCCTCACTAGCGATGCAAGTATAAGTATAAGCACACATAGCGTTGTCCTCGCTAATAATATTGACACACATAAACATAGGCATGAGCATAAGGAGCTTATGCACTAGCACGTATGACCTTGACATAAGCTCAAGATAAATACAAGAATGTCAAAACCTTGCATTCTTCTTTTGCTTATGCTTATGCAGTGATTTTGTTACCTCTGCGTCCCTCGTCCCTGATACATAAAAAGCACCAAAGACGCAAAATATTTCATAGCATGTGTCCCATGGGACACAAAGTTGGATCAATGGATCTGAAGATGTTTGTGTAGAATATCCTTTTTGAGTGATTTTTGTTGCTCTTTTTGCTGCTGCTGTTTGACGAGGTATATTTCTTTTAGTCTTTGTTGTTCCTTACGATAGAAGCATTTTTTAATTCCAGACAGAAGCATATAACCCCAAAGCGTCTAAATTCCCCTTATGTGGTTAGAACCATGCTCGGGTTTTTTAGCCGATGCAGCCGTCCAATCAGAAGTACAGAAAATTATTTTGCCCAAATATGGAATCAGCCAAATTCAAGCTTTGAGCTTGCAATGCTTATACATGTATGTCTACAACCGAAAGAAATCGTTTTGTGGCATAAAAGATAAAGTAGTTATGATGCTATAAAATGCATCCCTTGGAAAACATAAAGAGCCACAAAATTATAAGTAGCCTGTTCCAGGCGTTCAGATAGTGGGGAGTGGTGCGAAGTAAAAAGGAGCGCGAAAAAATAAAAGCGAGGGAGGAGGAGAGGTGAGAGAGGGAACGCCTGTTAGATTTGTTTTAAATAGACTCTTCCGCCCAGTCAGACCGCATCAGCTGTAGGTGGTCTTCACTTGTCAATCAAGACTGGTGTTACAGCCCGATGCATTTATTATTTTTCTTGCGAATAAATCGAAGTTTGTCAGATCAAAAAAATAATATTATGTATACATAATCTTACTAAAAACCCAATGTAAGACTTTCAGACAATAGAAGGCGGGAGAAGTATTCATGTATAATGAATTTATTTATGGCTTTAAAACATGATTTCAGCGTGTACGTGACAAAAAATTATGAATCAAGTGACAAACAAATATCGCTCATTTCGATAAAAAGCCGTTTCAATACAGATCGTTAACTCAAGCAATGAAAATGAACAACAATTGAAGGGAAAATTTACCATGCGGTGATTGAGTGGACCTCATCAATAGCGATAGCCGCAACTTGCTTTCCAAGCTTTCCTTTTTGGAGTCCTTTTGTCCATTCATTAGACAACCACAATTTGGCACTTCAGTAAACAATTTCACAGCTTCCACTTTTAACGGCTTCATCCACATCTTCTCCCATCATTGCCGCCGCTACTCCGATTTTGTTCAAATATTCCACTGTCTTGGTCTTCCATGATGGTAATCAACGGAGTTACCACAACAATCGTAAATGGCATTCTATCCTGCCTTCATTCCCACGCACGCTTTATTCGAGGAAAAAGCTGGAAAATAAGAATTTTTCCAAAGCCAGTTGGTGAGAAATTGCTAAGACATCTATCCTACCGACTACGTGTTTTATACAGTTTCTTTGCTCTTCGCTTTTAGCCTCCACGTTTGGAAAGTCACTCAGCGCTGTGTTTGTTGCGAGTTTGAATTCTGCGTGACGGCACGTAGAGTCTGTCATAACAGCCATATCGCATTTCTCGCTTTGATCGAAGATGCTCTACTCTTGACAAAAACTGTTAAAATCAACCAATCAGAGGGTATACCAGGATCTGGTATACCGGAACGCACTTTTGTTAAAAATTCTTACAAGCGTTCCCGCACCTCTCTCCCCAGTCCCCCTCTACTTTTCATCGCTTTCTTTACTCTGCACCGCTCTCCACTATCTGAACACTTGGAACAGGCTAAGTTATAAGGGGTATGGCTTCAGTGAAAACATCAACCAGCGACGAAATAAGAAAAGGATGTTTACATTTCCTCACAATATCGCAAAGCCTCTCGCCAAAATCAGCAAAATGCGTTTGCAGCCTCTTTGACCGATAAAAATCATCCTCAGGTTACTAGCTGCAAACCTATCTACCTCGGCAAACCAGTTATCTGCAACTTCTGTTCTCATTCAGCAAAACCAGCATGGTGACTACAAACAAAATGATATGGCAAGCTTTGCAGAAACGTTGTACAAGGCACCGATGAAGTCGGAACGGAATCTTTTTTTTGTGAGTGTAGATTTTTTAATTAATTCAGAACAGTACGCGAACACATGTATGGCAGTTTTGATTAGACGTGTGACATGTAAAAGTTTTTTTTTTCTTTTTGCGGACAAAGAAAAGTCTTAAGCTGCAAAATTTACCTTCGAGGACTTCGACCTTGTTTCTTTCACAGCGGAGCGCTTGTCCTTTTCTGAACTGCGACCAAGTCAGCAACCGTTTAACAGAATTTTCAGGTAAACTTTCATTTTACACATTATGCTCAAGGAAAGTACGATGATGAAAGGAAATTTATGTAATTATG